TGCCAAAATAAAAGCTGACGCATCCTCGCAATACCCCGATGTTGAGTTACGAGGGCCGTAATATTATCGCTTTGAGCTCCCCCCGAGTCGGCGGTGTAACAGAAATATTTTATTAGATCGCCTTCCTTTCGTCAGCATCGCACCGAATCGTGCTATACCGAACATTTCTAGTACATTCGATCGAGCCGAATGTTACTAGGATTTTTTAAGAGAAAAATAGTTCGTTTCTTTTTCTTGTTGCTATATTTTAGAAAATATTTAGAACGCGATGTCCACGTCTGTTGAAGGGTTAAACGGTCGACCTAAAGGTTAACGATAAGGAAGTTCGAGAAGGCACAATATTCAGTGAAATTTCAGAGCACAGAGTACAACAATTTCTTTGTCTTTTCGTTTCACTTACCTTCCTCGTCGCTGCCGATCATGGCGTACCGCTCGTATCCCGTGAGATTCCTGACCGCGCCGAGGCCGAAATCGTCTTTTGTCCACTGAATGGGTCCTTTCTGGTCGAGGACTCGGCAAGGAAGCGTCACGCGACTGCCAATCACCGCGGTCTGATCCATTGGCTCGATCGCGAACCGTTGATAAACTACTTCCGTGGTCGTAACCGGCCTCGCCGTCGAAGCCAAGGGTGACACGTTCGTCATGTTCGTGGCGGACGTTGTCCTGGTTCCCAGTGTCAGTAACAACGGTAGCCAGATTATAGACGATGTCGATTGCGGCGTGCCCTTCGGTCTCGTTCTATAAAACGACGGTAACAGAATTTTTAGCGGACAGCGTCGATACAAAGGTGGACGGTGCATTCTGGGCGTGGTAAATAAGTTCTACAAAGCGTCGCATACCGACGCGAAAGTGTGTAATAGTTAGCGATCTCTGTTTCACGCGTCTCTTATTTTCACGTGTACACGTGTAATTAAGGTTCACGTGTACGCGTGTAATTAAGGTTCACGCGCACACGTGTAATTAAGGTTCACATGTACACGTGTAATTAAGGTTCACATGTACACATGTAATTAAGGTTCACATGTACACGTGTAATTAAGTTTCACGCGCACACGTGTAATTAAGGTTCACATGTACACGTGTAATTAAGGTTCACATGTACACATGTAATTAAGGTTCACATGTACACGTGTAATTAAGTTTCACGCGCACACGTGTAATTAAGGTTCACATGTACACGTGTAATTAAGTTTCACGTGTACACTTATAATTAAGGTTCACGTGTACACGTGTAATTAAGGTTCACGTGTACACGTGTAATTAAGGTTCACGTGTACACGTGTAATTAAGTTTCACGCGCACACGTGTAATTAAGGTTCACATGTACACGTGTAATTAAGTTTCACGTGTACACTTATAATTAAGGTTCACGTGTACACGTGTAATTAAGGTTCACGTGTACACGTGTAATTAAGGTTCACGTGTACACGTGTAATTAAGGTTCAGGTGTTTTGCTCCGTGTCGTTTTTAACACACGTGTACACTGTATCAAAATCCATGTACAGTAATGTCTCCCTAATTGACGCTCAGATTGTCCACAAAAATGGATAATGTGGGAAGAGAAGATACGATTATTCGATCCTTGCAGTTCATTTTTATAGCCACGAATTGTCAACAACTATAAAAACGAGCTGCGAGACACGAATGATCGTATCTCCTTTTCCCAAATTGTCCAGTTTTGCGGACAATCTGAGGCGTCAGTTAGGCGTCAGTACGGGAGACATTATCGTACAGTAATGTCTCTCTTACTGTCGCTCGGATTGTGCAGAAAAATGGACAATTTGGGAACAGGAGACACGATCATTCCGGCTTTGTACTATGTTTTTATAATCGTTGACAATCGGTGACTATAAAAACGAGCCGCAAGGCTCCTCTTCCCAAATTGTCCATTTTTATGGACAATCTGAGCGTCAATTGGAGAGACAATTATTGCATTTTGATACACGTGTACACGCATATTTCGGTAAAAAAATGATTTTAAAAAAGGATGGGTGTCACATTAGGCTCGCCCGAGTTAGTACAGTATGATGTATTATACTATATCTAGTTTCAGTTGCATAAACATTTTCGTATTCGACCACAGTAATATCTCCCTTACTGACGCTCAGATTGTCCACTAAAATGGATAATTTGGGAAGCCTTGCGGCTCGTTTTTATAATTGTGGACAATTTATAACTATAAAAATAAATCGCAAGGCTCGAACAATCGTATCTCCTCTTCCCAAATTGTCCACTTTTGTGGTCGATCTAGGCGTCAATTAGAGAGTCATTACTGTACCGCGAGCACTGCTTCGCGTCTTCCCCTTTCGACAAAGCGGAACGTTTTAAAATGCAAAATCGTTCGAAGGGGTAAACCGTGCGCCTAATTTGAATTTTTCGGTCTCGGTAACAATCAACTACCCCTGAATCGCGGTCGTAAAATTCTTCGGCAAAGCCAGTGGCGCAACGAGACGCGATCGAACCGTTCGATCACGATGGCGCACGAACAAATTCGGTTAAGGGCAGTTGCGAAGTGTTTATACAGAGAGACTGTTTATCTCTAGCTGGCCGTGACGCATAAACTAAGCGCTAAATATCGTACGTCCGTACAACAATTCTTCCTGGTGGCGCGGGGGCACGGATTTATCCCCTGAAACATAGGCCCACAATTAAGGATCACCATGAATTCTGAAAGTGCACAAATCTCCGTGTAACGGCGCGATGTTTACGGTGGCGCGAGCGCGACTCGCCCCCGTGAATTCTCTACGGTGCGACGAGGTGTGTGTCTGTGTGCGTGTGTGTGCGCGCGTGTGTCGATCGAACAGAGCCACGGGGAGGGCTGGGGATGGCGGCGATGCAGGGCGAATGATAGATCTAAACGCGAAATAAAGGTAGCATTAACGATGGGTGAACGTTTGCAATGTGCTCGCAGTGCAGTAGAGAACGGTATTCCGGGCGATTATCATTAAAAGCGCGGAGAGTTCGTTGTTGAACGCGCGTATCTTCGTTCTCCTCTATTTCTGTTCCGCTCGCCGCTCGAAGCTTGATTTACGTTCTCGTAGACGGCGGCGACATCCCTTAGTCTGGTTCGCGTTCGAGCCGTCCTTATTTATCTTTATGGTTCCATCGGATTCGGAAACGGGCGAGAGAGAAACGGAGGACGGAGGACGGAGGCCGGGGTAGTCGTCGCCGTAAATGGGACGATAAAACTATAGCCGGCACGACGGTAGCAATTTATTATTGCGCTGTAGAGCGAACAGCCAACCGTGCACGTGATGCCACCATTATGAGGAGAGCCGGAGGAGACCTTCTTTTTTTCTCCCGTCCTACCTCTTTTTTACGAGGGTAATGCTGTTTTGTCGCTGCAGCGAAAAAATACGCTGGCTGCCGGCAATTATTACGCGGGCTGCTTTACGGGAACAAAAAGGAGAGAGAGAGAGAGAGAAAAAAGAACGGCTATCTTGTTGTCTTCGGGAACGCCGCGGAGAGGGCGGCAGGGATGGAGAGCGCGCGCGGCACGCCGAACGATCGGGAAATACAATGCTTTAATAAATGTCGATGGAGCTGCTCGCCCGTTGCGCGACAATTAGATTCACGGCCCGAGGCGGCGGCGATCGATAAGTCGAGATTCTTCGTGCCGCTGTTCGTCGGAGCATTCTTCGTTTTCCTATTCCCATGCTCGAACGGAGACGCGAACGAGACCACTCGTCGGATCTTCGCGCGAAGACACCGCGATCACGATAAATGGTCGCGCGTGTATCCTAGCCGCGTTACAATTTACGCGGCAATTTCTCGCTCTGTTGACCCAGCGGGCCGCGACGGGCCGTGGCGGGCCGAGGCGGAACAAGCTCGCGACCGCCGGCACGAGAAGCACGAGTCTCGGCCAACGAACCGTTCTCCTAATCGTTCCATCGACCTCTCAATTAACTTTCATTTGTCTGACCAACCATTACTCGAACTTTATTCCGTTCGATGTCTTTTCTCGGATTGTCGCGTCGACTCGCTCGCTTTTATCGTTTCGTTCCGCGAACAGCGACTCAACCATAAATGCTCCGACGAGGCTCCGACAGGCTCCAGTTAAACGGCTAGCCGTCTTTAACGAATACATTCGTCGTAACGCGAAATACAGTAATGCCTCTCTAATTGACGCCCAGATTGTGCACAGAAAAAGGACTATTTGGGAACAGGAGATGCGATTAGTTGAGCCTTGCACCTCGTTTTTATAATCGTTGGCAATCGGCAACTATATAAATGTGTCACAAGACTCGAAAAATCGTGTCTCCTCTTCCCAGATTATCCATTTTCGTGCGCAATCTAAGCGTCAATTGGAGAGACATTACTGTACAGTAATGTCTCCCTCTGACTNGGAGATGCGATTAGTTGAGCCTTGCACCTCGTTTTTATAATCGTTGGCAATCGGCAACTATATAAATGTGTCACAAGACTCGAAAAATCGTGTCTCCTCTTCCCAGATTATCCATTTTCGTGCGCAATCTAAGCGTCAATTGGAGAGACATTACTGTACAGTAATGTCTCCCTTACTGACGCTCGGATTGTGCAGAAGAATGGACAATTTGGGAAGAGTAGTCTTGCGAATTCGAGCCTTCGAACTTGTTTTTATAGTTACCGATTGTCAAGGTTATGTCAATTAGGGAGACATTAGTTTATTGCCGTTTCTTCGCGACGAGTACAATAAATTAGCCGTAATTGTTTCTCAGCTTGTAAATAAAAATGGACGATTTCGGAAAGGAGGATAGTATTGTTACGGCGACTTGTCCAAATCGATGTAATGTGAAACTGCTCTGTTGTGAGCAACTCCTTAAAAAATTAATTTTCTTAGAAGACGGTCGCGATAGAAACAAGATGCTAGAGAAAGAACAACGTACACTGTTATGGGTGTAAACGTACATTATTCCTTGCAACAACTCGCTGTTGTTTCGCGTTCCTATAAGACTCGAACGGCAGCTATACATAGAGCCGGTCGAAGCCGATGTTAAGGAACGATTGTAGCGTCAGAAGGAAAACGCTCGCTTCCGGCGGCGTTATTCTCGCTACGTCTTGCGCGAACTTCCGTTGGCCAGCGTCTTGGAAAGGCACGCAAGCTCGAGGAATCTTATTCGCTGGCTAGGGTTCGAACGAGGCATCGATGAGCTCGTCAGAAAAGAATTACAGTAAAGTCTCCCTAATTGACGCTCGGCTTGTGCATAAAAGTGGACAATTTGGGAACGATAGGTACGATCGTTCGAGCCTTGCAGTTAGCTTTTATAGTTACCGATTGTCAACAATCAGTTTTTTGTAGACAATCGATTAGAAAGACATTAATGTACTGTTATATTTCCCTAACTGACGCTCAGATCGTGCACAAAAGTGGACAGTTTGGGAAGAGCAGATATGATTATTCAAGCCTTGCATAACTTTGACATAACCTTGACAATTCGTAACTATAAAAACGAACCTCAAGGCTCGAATAATCGTGTCTCCTCTTACAAAATTATCCATTTTTTGTGGACAATCTGAGCGTCAATTAGAGAGGCATTATTGTATAGTTATGTTCTCTCTAACTGTCGCTCAGATTGTGCACAAAAGTGGACAGTTTGGGAAGAGGAGACACGATTATTCAAGCCTTGTAGCTCGTTTTTATAATCGTTGACAATTCGTAATTATAAAAACGAGGCGCAAGGTTCGAACAATCGTATGTCCTCTTCCCAAATTGTCCATTTTTCTGCACAATTTCGGTGACAATTAGGGAGACATTACCG